GTACTGTTGCAATAAAGATACTAATTTGGCCACAAATGTCTTGTGGGTGTTTGCTAGTTTGAATATAAAGTCAGTGGTATTTTCCTCTATTCTGGATGTAATTGTTGGTTTCATTTACTGTTTCGTTATGAGTATAAAGATTTTCCAGGACTTTAACATACTTGGAAAGTCTTAAAATGTAATTTTTAATATTCATGTATGGGAAAATTTTAGAACTTAGAATTTAATATTTAGGTGCTTTATTTATGTCTTGAAAAAAACAAATGTTTTTTTAAGTCCAGGAAAGCTTTTCAAAATCACAATTTTAAGCATTTAGGACATGTTTTTGTTTGGCTTAGCTTGTGACTATCATAACATAAAATATCAATAATTAATTACTACTTAATCAATAACATTTAATCTATTCTGAAAAGTAGTCTTAGAAATATCTAACTTTAGTGGTGTATGAATCCCTATGCTTTCATACTTTTGCTAGAATTCTGAAGATTCTTCATCAGTAAAGCATAAAGAGAAGAAAATGAAAAATTAAACAGATGTAAAACAAATTCCAAATGAACAAGTAAGATGATAAACAGAGAAACAAGAAAATATACTCGAAGCTTTGGGCTTTCTTTGGGACATTTTAGTTGTTTTGAGTGTCTATGAAGGGCAAAAAATAACCTGCTACTGTCATATGAAGTAGGTATGGAATTTTGGTTGCCTTATTTTACTTGTACAGGCAGGATTACAATTTTATTACACCCTATGATTTCCTTTGGTTTATTAGTATATTAAAAACAGTAACTTTAAGTATGTACTATCTTTGACACATGCCCACTTTATGCTTGAATTGCAAAATGAAAACTCACAAAACAAAAAGCATGCATATTTGTTTGTTTGTCATTAAGCACAAAACTGAACAATAGGCGATCTGTGCTGTGCCCACTGCAGGAATCAAACATGAATATTAGTGTTATAAACCCTAAAACTTACTACTGAGCCAATGTCTCCATCAGAACTATTCTACCTTAGATAAAGAGGTTTGTTAAGCACAAGACTACATAATGGGCTATCTGCGCTGTGCACAACATGGGTATCTTAACCCAATTTTTAGCATTATAAGCCCTCAGACATATTGCCGAGTCACTGGAGGGCAAGATGTTTGTTAAACTTCAGGGTTAACATGCATTCTTAGAGTAACGTAATTCAGGATTAACTTGCTTACTTAGTTACATTACTCTAAGAAAGAAGTTAACCCTGAATTACATTACTCTAAGAAAGCAAGTTCTTTCTTAGAGTAATGTAATTCAGGGTTAACTTGCTTTCTTAGAGTAATGTAATTCAGGGTTTATAAATAACAGTTTCTCTACTCAAGTGTTGTTAAGTTTTCTTTCACTTATTTTCCCTACAGAGAAGTCCATAAATGTAATTCAGGGTTAACATGCTTTTTAGAGTAATGTAATTCAGGGTTAACTTGCTTTCTCAGAGTAATGTAATTCAGGGTTAACATGCTTTCTTAGAGTAATGTAATTCAGGGTTAACTTGCTTTCTCAGAGTAATGTAATTCAGGGTTAACATCTTTCTTAGAGTAATGTAATGCAGGGTTAACTTGCTTTCTTAGAGTAATGTAATTCAGGGTTAACATGCTTTCTTAGAGTAATGTAATGCAGGGTTAACATCTTTCTTAGAGTAATGTAATTCAGGGTTAACATGCTTTCTTAGAGTAATGTAATTCAGGGTTAACTTGCTTTCTCAGAGTAATGTAATTCAGGGTTAACATCAAATAATTTTATGTATAGATCTTAAGAAGTGGGAAGAAAGTTTTATTTACAAAAGTATGCCAAGTAAAGTCCCGAGTAAGAGTTGAGGCTGCTATATGTGCTTAGAATGTATTTTTGATTGAATATCTTTACTTAGAAGTCATTAATGTCAGAGCAATTGAGTGATTGAAAAGTGATACACTGTGCTATTATAAAGCCAAATGATCATTTTCTTTACAGGATTAAGTCCGGATCTCCAGTCCATGGAGCAGATCCGTCGTATCATGCGGCCGACGGATGTGCCGGATCAAGGCCTCTTGTGTGATTTACTTTGGTCAGATCCAGATAAAGATGTTATGGGATGGGGAGAAAATGATCGTGGTGTTTCTTACACCTTTGGTGCCGACGTAGTAGCCAAGTTCCTGCACAAACATGACCTGGACTTGATATGTAGAGCACATCAGGTTGGTCTCTAAGAAAATAACTTTTAAAAGTTCTTGGCATTTGAAAACCTTCTTGTAATTTTGATACAGATATAAATTAGAAACACTACTTACCTTTCTATGCCACAAAGAGCTGTTACCTTGCACGCAACTGCCATGGAATTTCCTGTGCATGCCATAAACGTTGAACAAACTCTTTTCTCTGGACACAGGCAGAGGCAGTGCTAAGGAAAAATGAGTCTATGATCATGTGTTAGTGCTCATGGGGGTTGTGTCGCCATCCTATTGGTGGAGAACTACAGCTTTATGGCAATTACAACATAGGCTGGTGCAATTCACATTTTTACATGTAGGGGTGGGAATTTATACAAGGTTTGTGTCATGTGCAGGAAGTTCTGTGGCAGTTGTGAGTGAGGTAATAGTTCTTAGTGGTGAAAAGAGGTAAGTATCTATATGAAATACATTTCCAGGTAAGGAAAATGTTAACATCAGTGTTTATCATGAGGATGCTTTCATGCGAAAATCAAATCTAAAAGTGCTTTGTTTGGTTGGTCTACTAACTACGTTATTACTACAGGTCTTATGTATTATATTTTGTATCCATAGGACTGGATTGTGGTTGTATCATCCTTCATCAATAGTGAAATAGCCTATAATGGTATTTCCCAGACTTTTCTCCCCAAGGCATCACCTGGATCTACTGAAAAAAAATGTTGCACACTACTAATTTCGGCACTTATAGAAAAGTGAAAATAAGGCCACATGCACATAAATACCTAAAAAGCAGATGGTGGTAAATAAAGTGGCTTGTGATTGCATTTTAACTTGTTCTTTATAGTGAAAGTTTTATTCTATTTTATTGTAATTGTTGTTTTTTTTATGAATAACTATAGAAAACTTAATTTTTTTTGTGGCACACCACCAGCTCACCTGCAACACTTCAGTTGGAGAGTTTTTCTGTTTTATACTTCTATTAATCCTAGAAATCCCAGTGAGGTTCATGTGGATCTTAACTGTTTTTTTAAGTACATTTTTCTGAAGTATTTATACACTAAATTGTTTGTGGGTCCATGATCTTATTGCTTACAAGTATCCTTATAATGCAGTGAATCACACTCTTTACCATCAGGGTTCTCTGTGTGTTTTCCTTTGAAAATGAGTTATTCTCCAATTTTTTGGTCACTTCTTTACACTGGCTATTGTAACAGGTCAGTAAGCTACTGAATGTGATACAATATATGGACCCAACTGGTATTAACTCTCTCAACATGGGCTTGGTCGATTTTACCAACCACGTGACCTCTTTGTACTCGTTTAAAGTCTTTATAGTTTTGATACTACCAACTTTTAATATAGTGTATATATCTTCACAAAATTTGGCTGACTTTCAATAAACATTACAAGTCTTTCACATACAAGAAATCATATTTTTTAGTGACGTATTTTTAATAAACTAAAAAACGGATTTGATACTAATTGGTATAACCTAAAAAAATGTAGTTTAATTAATTTATTTTCAATGTAAGTCACTAAAACCTTGTGACATGTGCAGTAAATGATGCCTGGGCAAATAGGGTTAAACAGTGTAAAAAAACAAGTCAGTAATCTGAGGGTTAATAAAGGTAGTACAGAAACGTAAACTAAATTGATTATTCATTCATGATGTTAGGAAAAAAACACTTAGGCTCAAAAAATCAATTTATGACAAAAAATACAATATCATATAACCTGATTGCTTTCGAAAGGTGGATCTTTCTTCATAAGGTGCCTGATGAAGAAAGGTCCACCTTTCAAAAGGCTTCAAGTTATAAGGCTTTGTATTTTTTTCTTGAGCTGAATTGCACAATTGATCTGAAACTAGTATACAGTAACTATGAGTGCAAATATAAGTTGTAGTAAAATAGACTGTTTTTAGAGAAAAAGTGGCAGTTTTTGTATTTCTAAGTTCACACAGTTATTTAAGTTAACTTCAAGTTAGTTTACATATTTTCTTTCACACCACTGAATACTTTATTGTAACGATAGGTTGTAGAAGATGGCTACGAATTCTTTGCAAAACGGCAGTTAGTCACACTTTTCTCGGCTCCCAACTATTGTGGTGAGTTTGATAATGCAGGAGCCATGATGAGTGTTGATGAAACCCTCATGTGCTCATTTCAGGTAAGCACATTTATCTTTCAATTCAAGATAATCTTTGTGTGTTTTTTAACGTGTTTTATGATTTAACATTGCTATAAATTTACATTTTTATGATAAATAAACATGGAATATAGTGTTGTTTTCATGACAAATTTTTTTTAAACCAAATATTACTGTTTTTTTCAGGAAGTACACATTTCTTGGATAAACTATATTTTGTATGTTTTGTTCATATTATTAAACTTTTGGAACTAGGTATGCAAGAGTAACACAGCATTGGGATATTGTTTCGCATGTAACGTTTATGCTCATATCAAGGGAAGCTCTGTAATAACTGTATATTTTTTATTTCATTTCATCTACATTAAGTTTCTTTTATCTTAATAAAGTTTTTTTAAATATGTTTATTTGAAGTAATCCTAAATTACAGATTCTGAAGCCAGCAGACAAAAAGAATTCACCGTATGGTAAAATGGCATCATCCAGTCGTCCAATAACTCCTCCTAGAGGTCAGGTTGTCAAGAAAAACAGCAAAAAATAATATCTTACTATACCCTCTTTTGTATCTTAGAAAATCATTATAGGTAAAGGTTTCAAGTTCAATAAGAAGACCTGTACAAATCCATGTGGATATTAGTAGTTGAAAAGCTTTTTAAAAAAAAGGAATCCATGATAAGGTTCTGTTCTAAAGCTTCATAGTTGTACAATATATATTAGATAAAAAAACAGTTGTTGATCATTGTCGGTATATTTACAAAGTATGGTTCTATCTGTAATTATAGTATGTGTAGTTTTGAACACATACATTTATATAAAGTGTTAAGCAGCATTTAGCAATACAAGAGTACATGTTCACCTTCAATAAAAGATACATTTGACATTTTATTTGTATAACTTTAAGAAGTTTTCTTTCTATTTGTTCATCTACCTATGCCAGCTAAATCAGAAGTTTTATTTTTACTTGTTTTTTTTCACTCTTCATTTTCAAGTTAAAACATTCTCAGTTAGTATCATTTTATGTTTTGTCAGTTTCTCTTACCATATTGAAGCAGTTTTGACATTTATATATTTTTTTAACATCGTAACTTGAAATATCCTTGACATTTTAAATATAAAACAAGATGCAAAGAGTGTCTTCAACTGAAAAACATCTCAACTTTCAACACAGTTCCGTTAACCCTATTGCGTTTTTCATGAAAAAGCTAAAATAGGTTTGCATATAAATTCTTTGCTTTTATAATTTAAATTTTTTTGGAATGGGAGAACTGAAATTCCTTCATTAGGCTTAATAAATACTTTTAGATATTCAGCATTTACAGTGTTTCTAAAAGATGGTTAGAACCATTTTAATATTTTGAAGATTATTCGTAAATGTTTAGTTCTGGGAATGAAATTATATAGTGAAGGAAATGTTGTTTCCGATATGTTATCTTTTCTTGAGTAGTACTGCCGTCTGTCGGTGCCAATTTTCAACACTCGCCACTAGCCTTCCACCTCTCGCTTCTACATATCCACCTATAAATGATTATGCGGCAGCTCTCCACCAATAGGAGTGTGATACAACTATTGTAACCAGCACCCTCTCCTCATTCGCACGTATTAATCACTTCTTGATTGACAGTAGAACTCTACAGACGTGCTTGTTTTTGCTCAAAATTTGTCATTGTTTTCCTCTATACTATAGACTTAGTTTTTCTTTACTATGTTTTTGTTATTTCTTTATTTTCAGGGGCTTTTTTTGCTAGTGTATTGTGGGTCTCACTCTGTGGTGAGTGGTGCCTGACCAGGTATACTTTATTTTTTGAAAATCCACACTGTCCATCCTGTGACCATATTCGATCTCAATTATGTTGTAGCTCTTCCAGATGCTGCCAGATGTTGGTTGTGTGTCTCCATTCAGTTGTTCATCTATGCTGAAACAATTACATCACAGGATTAGATTATTCACATCCTAAAGATGGGATGTTCCATAGGACTGCTAGTAGTTCTTTCTAATGGTCTTTTGCATCATAAATATGTTCATCCCAGACCATACACTCATCAACACACATGAGTAAAACAGACAGCGATTGCTGCCCATCTCTGATGCTCCATGGTATTGAGACTCTTCCTACTGCGGACCTGATGTACAATTCCAAATGCCACCGGTTGTTGATTCACAGACTCCGTCAACACAGTAGCTCTGGTTTTCAAAATAAGGTATCACGGTCACCAGTTGCACTGTCTCCGGTGATGTGATCCTATAGACTCTCCAACATGTTTTTCCCTTCTTTCTTGTAGTGGAGTATGGGAGTCCTTGCCACTTACCAGTTTCTAGCTGCTGGGATGGTGGACCATGGAGGCCTGTCCTCCTGTGTGTTGCATCATACCACTCAGTTGAGAGTAGGGCAGTGGCATTCTGCAGCTGTTGATGGCGTATAGCACTTCCTAACACGGACCTGATGTACAATTCTAGATACTGCCAGGTTTTGGCTGTAGCACTACACCATATTAATATATATATATCTGACAGATTGATTTTTCTTACCATCCTAGGTATGTTCCTGGTAGGTCTGGTGTTAATTGGAGATGACCTAGTCATGATTAGGATCTTGTGTCGATGGCATGTAGCACTTCCTAACACGGACCTGATGTACAATTCTAGATACTGCCAGGTTTTGGCTGTAGCACTACACCATATTAATATATATATATATATCTGACAAATTGATTTTTCTTACCATCCTAGGTATGTTCCTGGTAGGTCTGGTGTTAATTGGAGATGACCTAGTCATGATTAGGATCTTGTGTCGATGGCATGATGCCCTTTGTACCACGGACCTGATGTACAATTCCAGATATCTCCAGGTTTTGGTTGAAGCACTCTGCCATGTCATGATTATATATATCTGGTGCAGTTTACCCCTCAGGCTGAGACATTCCTTCTACTTACCAACCTTTTGATATGGTTCTTGGGGGGGGGGGGGGGGGGGGG